TCAGACACACACACAAACACCAATGTACTAACCACTCACACTAATATGCTAATCTCACACACACACAGGTTAGTATGTTGGTGTGTGTGTGTGTATGTGTCTTATTGTATATTAGTTTTAGTGGTTATTATATTAATGTTTGGTTATAATATTGGTGAGTGTGTTTCTGGTTGTATATTGATGTGAGTAGTTAGTACATTGGTGTTTAGTTATCAAATTGGTGTGTATGATTACTATATTGGTGTGAGTGGTTAGTTTGTTCGTGTTGGGTTATTATATTGGTGTATGTGTGTGTCTGATTAGTATATTGGTGTGAGTGATTAGTTTGTTGGTGTTGGGTTATTATATTGGTGTGTGACTCACACCAATATACTAATTAGACACACACACACCAATGTGATAACCAAACACCAATGTACTAACCACTCACACTAATATACTAATCAGACACACACATACACCAATATAATAACCCAACATAAACAAACTAACCACTCACACCAATATAGTAATCATACACACACAAATCAATGTGATAACCAAACACCAATGTACTAACCACTCACACTAATATACTAATCAGACACACACACACACAACAATATGCTAAACGAACACAAAAATACTAACCACTCACACCAGTATATTAATAAGAAACACACACAACAATATGCTAACCAAACACACAAACCACTCACACCAATATACTAATCAGACACAAACACAACAATATGCTAACCAAACACACAAACCACTCACACCAATATACTAATCAGACACAAACACAACAATATGCTAACCAAACACCAATATAATAACCACTAACATCACTATACTAATCAAACACACACTGCCCAATGTGATAACCAAAAACGAATGTACTAACCAGACACACACACACCAATATACTAATCAGACACACACACACCAATATTTTAACCAAACACTAATATAATAACCACTAAAACTAATATACTAATAACACATATACACACAACATGCTAACCGAACACCAACACACTAACCACTCACACCAA